CGTGTGTGCTATTTAAATGTCTCCTATTCTTCAGTGAAGCTTACTTGGGGTTACCGTACTTACTTTATATATGACTTTGCATAAGTTTGGAAAGGAGAACATAAAAAAAAAAAACTCAGCAACCGTATATTGAATTCAACACACATCATTAATTTTCAAAGGAATTATGTGGCTTAATTGAAAATCCAATGGAAAAGCAATGTACATACTATGTTAAGCCATAAAGCTGGTTTATTACTGGATGTACCACAAACTGCAGCAGATGTGAGCAGGCAAGCCATCAGTCACATGCTTTGCTAAACTTAGTTTAACATGTAGATGTGAGAGTCTGGCTGTTTTCCTGGGAAAGGTCAGAGAGTGCTGCCAGGGTAAAGTCAATTCAAGCTCACATGCTAAGCCACAAATGGCTCAGATGATCACTCAATGGCAACACACTGACTATTAAGCCAGCATTATGACATCAATATGACATAATCTATTTCAAATAACAGTGCAAGAATGTGTAATTTAGTGTACCAAGGATAACATCAAAATACTTATCTTACTCATCTTAATCAGATCAATATAAATGGACTTCTATTATAACCCATAAGATTTTGTAATTTTTTTAAAAACTAGAAAAACGTTTATTAAAATAGATGAGCTGTAAAAACTGTTGTAAATTAGATTTATACATCAGCAGAGTTTGAAGCAGACTACTTTTTATTATCTTTTCCATCTTTTGAGATCTGTTCTTAATCTTCTTTCCTTACTATTTTGAATTGTCTTCCTTTTTATTGTTATTAAGGCTGCAAACAAAAATAAGGATTCTCTACACCCCCCCCCCCCATATCATACTCTTGCTAGAAATGGGCTATGGTTCAGTGGAGCATCAGCTGTCACCTTTATATAAGATTGGGAAAAATTCCTGCCCGAAATTCTGGAAAACTGCTAGTTAATGTAGACCAGTCTTTCCAAATCTAGATATGTTTCCAAATGTTTGGAATAATTCCTATCACTTCTGACTATTGGCAATATAGTCAGGATTCTAATGGGACATGGTGAAAAGAAATGGAAAAATGTAGCTTATGGGCAACTGGGACAGCTAGCACTGAGTTACCTGGGCTAACTGATTTAGATGTTTTATTTATTTATGTTCCCTATTCCTTGAGTATTCACTTTCTTATTAAAACAAGATACTAGATACATGTAGGATATAAAGGAAAATGTAGGAAAAATACTTCTATTTTTCACTACAGGTAGTCCTTGCTTAACGACCATTCATTTAGTGACTGAAGTTATGACAATGCTTAAAACCACAGCCTTTGCTGACTTTAGTGTCCAGCATATTGACTTTTCCATTTTGGAAGACCTAGATTCTGTATCTTTCAGCAGACACCTCAGAAAGGGACAAAGTAATGAGAAGTAAAGAATACTGAAAAAATTTTGCTTTCTCAAATGCTGCATTTCCCTGGAAAATGCATTATAACAGAAACAGTTCCAAGTAACCACTGCCAACATCTTTGGAATTTAAGAGATCTTTATATTATTTTATTGCTGCAAGATTAAATCTGTTCTTGCCAATCACATCTTATGTATTGTACAAGCCTAGCTAGTATCACTTAAGAGACTTAATCTCTTAAATTTGGTGTAAAATATGCCAAGTGAAATAAAGACTGCTACAGACATGTTTTCCCTCTGGTCTAGTTAAGTGGCAACCAGCCATTCAAACATGAAAAGGTTCCCAAGGCAGAGCAGTTTAATGTATAAAAAAATGTTGGCCCTTACCATAAAAATACACCACAGCACTCTACTAGCTTGTGAACAGTCCCATCATACAAAGCAAGCATGCTGCTAAATAATATAACGGGGGTGAGGGAATCAATATTTTTTCAACATATTAATCTGAGATAAACTCATGCAATTTACTTAGATGATATAATATCAGATATTATATGAGGAAACTCAGAGACAATTACCCATTCTCATGAATGTCTACAACACCCCCGTGTCTGCATTTTAAGCCGTCCTGTGAAGTTCTGACATTCTTCTCACTTAATGAAAAAATCAATAGAAATCTAATGGATCTTGGTGCATTGCCCCTTGAAAAAAAAATGTTGGCCCTGACAGCATTCAGCAACTACTCTTTAAGCAGGACTAATAATGCTGACTTCTGCTCCGGCTTCTTTTCAACTCTGATATGGTTGCCTGCCTTATTAATACAGTATTATCAGGTGCTTTATGAAGACAGAGACTCCCAGCTTTCTGATGCTAATAATAGCCAGAGCACCACTGGACAAGAGAGTCAATAATTGTAAGCTGGAGAGCTTATCAGAGGTAGACTTCTCTGCATACAAATCTTCTTTAAAGAACGCCTAATGTCAGTAAACCATTTTATTACTGACTATATTGGCTTCCTTTTATCCCCACAGATCTGATGGTAAATTACCCACCTGAGTGCTATTCATTCAGGGTCTCTTGTAGTTAACAAACCAGTCACAGGCACTCCTGTAGTGGAACACGTGTATTGATTTCCCCCAAATCAAAGAAAAGGGTCAGGAGTGAAGGTATGGGCTTGTCATTATAGGAGAAGCCAACTATGGAGAAGGAGAGGCTCTTTTTGCTGCATTTGAATGAAGGAAAGTCAATTTGGTGCAAAAGTCTCTGGAAGGCCTTTCCGCTAGGAAGGATGCAAAATCAAAAAGAGTATGAACCCCAAAGCAGACAGCTTAATATTGGAGCAAGATAGGCTAAGAAGGAGAGACGGGTGTCCCAAGAGACTATCATCACCATGCAGGTGAAGTAATATATCCCATTTTGCACCTTCTGCCACGGAACTGCACATAAGTGAATATTGCTGAACGAATTCACCAGATACCAATATTTACAAACAGCTCAGGATTCATCAGCATCCTGAATATAATTAGGAGTATGAATGTTTCATTCGGACTCTAGAAATTTAGACTCAAATATAGTTGAGTTGTAAAGATGATCTGGAGCCAGACACCACCTCTCAGCCTAACCTACTTCAGAGAATTGTTGGGAAGGTAATATGGCATGGGGCTTTATGGAAATTATTGCAAGAGAATTTTGGAAGGGAGGTCTCAAGCTAAAAGCCCCTAACCCAATACACTTTCTCAGAGAAACTAAAACTGTCAGCTCAGCCATAAAAGATACAGGAGGCCAAAGAATGCTGATAAGCTGAGAAAAGGTACTGGAAAACCGAACTATACTAATGGAATTCTGCCTTTTTGTTCTGTCAAAGCCTCCTTGTCTTTGTAGTCTTGCCTCATTGCCTCATAGTTACATCTGATTGCCTCGCTAGGCCTGTGATGTGCTTAGCCAATCAAATACTTGCTTTTGTTCATATCCAGCCACACACCTTACTGCGGTATTCAATTACATGTATACTCTAATTTGCATAAATCTATAAAAAAGCATGTCTTTTCCTCCAGGGCTTTCAATAAATTTGTGCTTCAACATAATGCATCCTAGTATCCAGTTCAAACAAGAGTCTGGGAAAATTCTCTGCCACTATCAAGATCTCCTTAGAAGAAAGGTAAAAAAGTAAAGGAGTCCCTGTGGATTTTACACTGCTAGTCGTTGCCAGCTATAGGGAGCGGTGCTCATCTCTGTTTCAAGGCCACTGAGACAGCACTGTCCAAAGACATTTCCACGGTCATGGGGCCAGCATGACATCATGGAATGCTGTAATCTTCCCAGCAAAGTGGTATCTATTCATCTACTCGCATTTGCATGCTTTCAAACTGCTAAGTTGGCAGCAGCTGGGGCAAGGATGGGAGCTCACCCTGTCACGTGGCGCTCGGGTCTCGAACCTGGCCTGTCAGCTTTCCAACCAACAAGCCAAGCATCTTAACCACTAAGTCGCTACGTCATCCCTTTCTTCTCCTTTAGAAGAAAAGTGGAATACAAATGTAACTGTTACAAGTCTGTATGTAAGTTTGAAAATAATGCAGCATCTGACAGATTATGGATAATTAGGCAGGTTTTCCAAAAGACACCAGGATCTAAGGAGCATTTCAAAGGATGAGAAAATATTTTGTGTTGTTTTCTTGGTATGAAAAAGATGCAAATGAAACTAGATCATGCACATATACCCTAGTTGTGTGCTAACTGTGTAATTTATAGGGCGCAAATGTATTTATATATATATTATGTATGCAGTTGAATAACGTATTATCTCTTTATTCAGGAATATATAAACTGCTCTTCATCCAGTCAAATTTATAATATTTTACACCCTCCAGATATGTTGGGACAACTTGAAGAATTATCCATCAGCACTGGAATGCTAATTTCCCATCTACTCTGTTTTAAATTCAAAATGCTCCGTTTTGAGTTCCAAATATTTCCTTTGTGTACAAAACAGGGTGTTTTAAAAATTCTGAAAGCGTTTCCAACTCAAAACAAAGTGTTTTAAGCTCTAAGCAAAGCTGTTTTGAGTTCAAACATTCTGAAACTCGTTTCAGTGGTAGTTTCAAATGCAAATCAAAAATTACAACCTGAAACATCTTGAATTCAAAATATGTTTGCCCTTTACTAACCAGCCAGCAACAGGGTGCTATGATGAAAATGGTTGTATGAGTTTATTCTGCTCACTGAAGATTTTACTTTCCAAAGGAGCTGGGAACAAGTCCACATAGAAATACTGGGGCAGTCAAAGCCAGCTGCAACAGACACATATCATCATGGCCAAATGTCCAATCCAAGGCGGAACAGATGAGACATCCAAAGCAGGTAAAAGTTATCCATGTTATTAATGCCACCTTATCTCCTACTGACAAACTGAGGTGTAGAGTTCAGCTGTGAAACTTCAGGGGAAGACACAATTCAATGGGGAGCAGATTCCAATTTCTTATACTTAAAAAAGGATCCGCCCAATCCACTGAATGGACTGACACAATCCAGATCTGAAGTTTACCTGTAACCCAAGAATTCCTTCGAGGTCATAAGTAAAAAAATCTCTTTTCTTCTTCTCTTAGGATATATTGTTTCCCTGCCCCTTCCCCCTCCCAGGCAAATCCTCTAAAAATGTTCCCATTGTTCAATCTATGGAAACAGGACCTTCTTTGGCAAAGCAGACAGCTAGAGTATAACCTGTACTGTAATAACAATTGGCCGAAAGATATCCTTAGATCTAAGATAACAAGCATCGGGGCGTTGAACTGCAGCTGCCATCGTCCCCCAGTCACGGCGCAGAGTCCCCGCTTGGCTGACTCGGTCGATAGGGGTCGCGTCTGGAGGGCATCAGGTTGGGGAAGACGGAAAGGGCGTCACAGGCGTTTTGAGAAATTGATGTGGAGAACCCTTTGCGTAGGGAAGCACCCTCCTTCGGGGGAGGTCCCTAAATCTGGGCGACAAGCTATCGTTCGCACTCTGGCTCCAGCAGGAAACCTCGTCCCCCAGACTCCAGGAGAACAGCACGGTCCGCGCTCCCGGAGCAGACGCCTTCCGTCCGGAACCCCCTGCCCTGGCCGCCCCCCCCTCCCCCGCGTGCCACAGCTTTCGCAAAGCCCCGGCGTTCCCTCGCGCGTGGCCTTGGCTTCTACAGCCCTTTTCCCCCCCAACAAAGAAAGGGGAGGCTCGTGCCGTATCCAGCCGAGACCCCCACCCTCGCGCTTTCGCCCCGCAGTTGACGCCGTCCTTCAGCCACCAAGTAGGTCCGGCATGAAAAACCGAATCCTCCCAGCCAAGCTCCCAGCAAGAGGCGTGCTGCTCCTGCTCCTTCCGGGTTTTCTGCTGCCAGGCTGAACGAACAAGCCCGGAATGCTGCATTACTCGGCCCACCCATGCCCTGCGGCTTTCACCTTTGCTAGGGGAGGAGGACGCGAAGCCCACTCCTAGCAGGACTCTTCCAGCGAAAAGAAAAGCGGCGGGCAGGGAATGCGGCAGCAGGCCAGTAGCTCGGAGCGGAACGAGCGGCCGCCAGGCTGCAGCGCGGAAAGGGTTAAGCGGAGGGAGACATTCCGCCAAGGAGAATTCAGAGCTGGGGGTCTCAGTCTGGGGAGGCGACCAGCGGCGACCGGCGGTGCTGCTTCGGAGCGCCGATTGGGGAGAAAGAGCCGCTCGCGGGCAAAGAGAGAGCGAGCAAGCGAGAAACTTTCCCCGGATCTTTCCTCGGCGCGATCTGGAGGAGAGCTACCCTGCACCCGCCGGGCGGGGGGGGGGGAAAGCTGCAGCGATAGCGCGGGGGCCGCTTCAAGCAGGGATTCCGCGGGCCCCCTTGGAGAGGCGTGAAGCCGGCCAGGCGTCTCCGAGGGGAGCGTTAAACTAAGGAAGCTGGCCACGCTTCGGCCGGAATTACTCCCCGCTTCCGTGTCTTTCCTACAGTTCAGAATCGCGGACGGAGCGGCAGTCACAACAGCGGCTTTGGTCGGGGAGGGAACCGGGGCTTCATCAGTCGCAGAGAACGGCCAATCTTCTCCCGCTGCGGAGAGCCCGAAAGTATCGGAGGGAGGGGCGAGACTCTGCTTCTCGGGAAAAGGGGGCGGCGAGCCCCCGGTCTGAGCTTTCGGCACTTCTCAGCCTCTCTATTTAGCACACACGCGCCCCGACACTTCGCCTTCCTCCCTGATAAACGGGGTCTGTCGAAGAGCTCCTCTCTCCACCCTGGCAGACCGTTGTTCGTTGCTGGGAGCCGATCGGATCCAAGAGGAGAAGAGCCTGCCACAGGTAGCCAAAGTCGGAGGCGCGACGCGACAGGCGCGCCCGAGAGCTCGTGTGTGGCCCGGAGGGTGCGGGTCGGAGCTTGTTGCTGGCAGGCTCCGCTCCTCTGCCCTCCCCCTCCTGCCCAGGCTTCCCTCGCAGCCGAGGATGAAACCTTTCCCCTGCGCCCGAGGAAGGCCGGACGAGCAGGCGGCAGTGCAGCAGGCGGGGAGTCGAGCTGCCGGGTGGGCTCTTGGGGGGGAGACCGCGGGGTCGAAGATTGCGCCTGGCAAACCGCGTCAAACGGCGAAGGGAAAAAGCAGCAGCAGAAACGGCACCTGCGGTTGTTGAACAGCTGTAAGTCAAGAAGCGGATTGCGCACGGCCGTGGGACTTTCGCGGGTACCGAGGAAAGGGGCGGGGTTCCGCAAAGCTGCAACCCCCACGGTTACTTTTAAAGCAATTAACTGGTGCAAATCGGGATTTCAGAAGATCCTTCTCGGCTATAGCGAGGGCGGAGCTTGATGTTCAGGATAAGGTGTAAAAGGGAGGGATTCTCTTCCTACAGGGATCTTGTTAAGAAATAAGACTTCGGGTACCCTTGGACTCTAGATCGAGAAGCACCCGATCCCAAATAACCCAGCCGGGGCGTCTAGGAAGTTGCAGTTGGACCTGCACATTCTCTCCTGAAAGCCTAATGCTGCTACCTACAGCTTTGCTCTGCCAGAAAGGGAATGCAGCTGTGCTCCAGTCACAGCAGAATCTGCTCTGTGCCAGACAGACACCCCCTTATAGCTGGATTTAGAAAAAGCCTGAACTTAGTAGTGGGGCGCATCCTTCTTTGGCCCCTGCTGGTGGCCCATCTGGGAAAACGGCTATAAGAATGCTGGCCGATTGGAGAGAGCTGTCTACCAGGATAAGTGCTATACTTGGCTGTCTCCTCTTCTTCTGGCTCTTTTACTGCCATCTGCCCAAGGAAGGTAAGTTCAGAGCTGTTTCACTCAGCACCTGCCATGATTCTGTCTTGCAGAAATGAGCTTCCCACCTGTTTTCCCTCCAAGGCCTGCACAGACAGCTGTACTTGGAATTGCCCAGGATGAGGCCAGGATCTTATAATGGAACAAACTCTCTCCCTTTCCCCTGGTCACCAGAGGATAGGTGCCCTTAAAATATATAACTAATGAATCTCTATAGTGGGGCCTTTTATATTTAAAAACCAAGAGTGAGACCCGAAGACCATATGTGGCTATGGATTTTATGGATCTGCTCTCTTTTCTTGGGGCCAAAGATCATCCCATCCTCATCCTCTAGTTTTACAAAGGCACTGTGTATATTTAATATCAATAGTACTTGACTCTGAGAAGACAGGAGTCGTTTTTAGCTCCCACCCCAGGCAAAATGTCAGGGATATGATATTTTTACCAAGGCAGCAGAAGTAAAGAAGGCTAGAAAATAAAATTCAGCCAATACAGTGGTTCTCAACCTTTCTAATGCCGCGACCCCATAATACAGTTCCCCATGTTGTGGTGACCCCCAACCACTTATACATCACCGGGTGCCAGGGGTGTGGCCAAAGAAAAGAGGGGAAAAATGGTGGACAGCCTTGTTTGGCAACCCCCGTGAAATGGTCGTTCGACCCCAAATGGGGTCCCGACCCACAGGTTGAGAACCACTGAGCTAATACAAACTAGCTATAATGTCAACACTTTGGCACAATGACATTAGGACTATCTAAGGTGAACAGCTGGGGCAACCATTAAGACCCCATGTTCACCAAATCGAAACAAAAATACAGATTCCAAGATGAGCCAAAACAACCCGCCCAACTTCAGAAAACTGCATGGGTTGCTTTGGCCAATGACATTCCATTGCATTCAAAGTTTGTTTCAGGGAGTCAAGGAGCCAGGGTCTGATGACATCACCTCCAGCTGATCCCAGACCTTTTGCTGGGCCATTTTACAATTTAAATTTCAAAGGAAAATAAATTATTTTATTTCCCACAAGTTTTTCATATTGGTATTGAGATAAAGAGAATGATGACAGTAACTATTGGGCTATTGGGGCTTTCAACTAAACACTCATGGACTCAGCCTATCTTTGGCCTGGCAGAAGATTTAAGGAAGATAGATTTTAGGTCTGGAAAGGCTTTGAACTTGAAGGAGCACTAAGCAAGGGAGAGGTAAAAACGACTCTTCTAGCTTTGAAAAACCAAAAATAGCTCAATCAGATACACAATCATAAAAAGGGAAACTTTCACAGAAGAGGAGAGAATTCAAAGAGCTATGATTGAAGGCCAAGATGAGGCATGTCTAATCTAGACTTGCGGATTTGCATTTTCTCCAAATCAGACTGATTTTCCTGCCACCATTTTTGCAGTGAATTCACGGTGTTTTCACTGCTTAACAACATTTCTGGCTATCATATTTATGTGTATGATGATCTAGAAATGTAAACAATGGGTTTCTCTTCAGCTCTTTTGAATCCCTTGGCATTTAGACAAACTTTACAGTTTGAATCTCTTGATGCTAAGGCTCTCACAGAAATAAAGGTTATTCTCACAAAGCTTGCTTATGCTTGATCTAGGTTCAGTGTCTACCGTGAACAGCGTTGGTTTGTGGGTGATGTGGCCAGGAACAAGTGACCATTGAGTTTGGGAATCTGCAAATTAGAAATCTTAAAAATTAGGGCAGGCTTTACTTCCGTAGCAGACAGGAAGATGTAAGCAAAAAAATCCATCTCTGTCTAGTCAAATGGCTTTCTCATTGTTTTGGCTTAAAGAGTTGCCAATTTCTCTTCTTGGCTCCTCCTACTTTCTTTCTGCTTCAAATTTAGCATGTCCTGAACCATGGTATTTATTCTTTTTTGCCAAGAGACATTTCTGTGCAGTTAAAAATTGTGATGTAGGGTTCTGTGATTCCAGGTCCTGCTACCTGTTAAGCCATGAATCCCACCTTGGATGTTTCGATGGTAGGGTCAAAGTAGGCTTGGATAAAATAATGGGGAAACATCTCTGCCTGGCAAACTGCTGTTAATTAATATCAGAAATTGTTCATCTGCTGAACAATGGTCTAAGCTGATATAAAAGGTAGTTTCTGACATTCCAAGGTAAGGGTCTAATTCTGGTTATTAGTTTGAAATGGTAAGATTTTATCAATATCTCTATTTGTTACTACAGTGCATATATATAAAACTCCCTCCAAGTCAGTTTATGAGATTTAATATGAGACTCAATGTTATAAATTTAATTTCTGTTTCACAGTAGAGCAGTCCAGTCTTTTGTAACCTGGCCTTCTGGATGTCTTAAGACTGTATTTCCAGAATTCTTAACCAGCACAATCTGGCTGGAATATTTGGCCCTTGAAATCTCAACCCATCCAGGAAAAGCAGATTGGGGAAGGGTGAAATAAACAAAGGGTTTACTTTTATGTTTAAATTGTCTAATTTAAAATACCCATGTGCACCCATGTATCCCATTAATATGTGGAGAAGGCATTTTTGTTCTCTGACAAAGTCTTCATCTCTCAGTCTTTACTTCTTTTTTTTAATAAACACACTGACATACTTCACCCTAACGTGGTGTCCTCCAATTGCTCTTGAACATTGACCCCCAAGTAGAATGGCCAGAATTGAAGGTTACTGAGTTGGAGAAAGCCAGTATAAAACATTCAGTCCTCTGATCTATCCTTTGTCTAGTGACTGGATGCAGAGAATTTCTAGCATATGACATTATGGGGAAAGGAGCAGATAATCAGAACAAGTTAGGAATATGATAGTAACCAGCGTTTCTATGTTTTATTTCTTATATGTATGTATGAGAGGGCAGAGAGAAGAAGAAGAAAACCTATTGGGCAGCAAGCACAAGCCCTGTTAAGCAACTGATTTGTTCCTGGGTTTCCCTCTTTCTTTCTCCCAGCTCTATACTGTGTAACAGTCCTGCCAGCCCAGCAACTGCAGAAGGAATCGTGAGCTGATGTTTACTTCCCCAGAAATCTATAAAGATCACTGTCAGCATAAATGTCCCATTGAGAGCCCAGAAACAGGGGCCTCTTGCAAACAAGGATGCAGTAGGTTTGCAAAATCCATGTTGATCCATTAATTATATCACAATTTAACAACTGTAGCTAAATGTTTATGCAATGATTCAAATGATGAGAGTTTATCCAATCAAACCATAGTTATTTCAAAGCTAGCCTCAGGCATGCGAGATTCAAGACAGTGCCAATTTGCTTGCCACCTTGCCAGAACCCTAAATCACTTATAAGTCACAAGGCTGTTTCCTGTATAGCTTCTGCACTGGGCAATCTGCAAAGCAGCCAAGGTGCAAATTACTTGCACTTCATTGTTACAGTTTTGTGGCAGGAAAAAGTCAAAGCTACACTAAAGCTTGTTCAATAACAATATAGCCCATTCTGCAAAACCAAACAGTTTAAATCTGTGACATTTACTGTCTCATGGATATATAGATAATGAATATGAGATGTACTAATGCTGGTTGCTAAGAAAAGCTTAATAATTTGAGCATAGCAGGTATGATGCTGTTATTTTTTTTTAACTTAGCCTCTTTTTTTTACTAATAGAGATGAAATTTTAACCACAGACAGCTTTGTGGTATTCTAAAGATCATAACCCATTTATTATAATACTGCAGCATCTTAATGAGTAACTTTGTTATAGTTTGGCCTCTAGGTTTGCTTAATTAAAAGCTGATTTAGCCATTAAGATTCCACAGAAATTCTCTACCTTGGTGGTTCCAATTCTTTCTCTTCTCCTGCAGAAGTTCTGATCAGCTTTCTTTTACATTATAACATTTTGTCCAGTTAAATGTAATACCTTTTTGTATCTCACCTTGACTATAACCACTGTGGCAATCGTCCATCATTTTTATCAGTTTGAATAAGATCAGAGTTTGAAATCTGGCAGACTTTTTAAATAAAATCTTAAGTTTGCTTTAATTGCACTGAGTAATGTGCACTGAATTCAGATTTAGATTCTAGTTAAAATGTGAAATGTACATACATTTGTATTATATTAAAAAAAAACCTGGTACTTTTGTTCTAGATAACAGCCTTCGTAGATATTTCATGTTAATGTAATATAATCACATATAAATTAAGTTTTGACTATTAAGCAAAAGCAGAAATTATGCAAACATGGAGAGGAAATATTTGAATTATATCTGTGAAATATATACAGGTCCAAAACTATATTTGACTGTCTGCTTTTGTCAATATATTTAAAAGTTACCATGATTATTCCAGAGATAATTATGATGAAAATTAGCCACATTAATACAAAATTTATCAGGTGAAAGAGATCCTCAAGTATTGGAAGCTGTTGATTACCTTGATAATTTGAGAAATGGGGAGAGAGGTATGGTAAAAGAAGAGACTTACCAAAAAACACATCCTAGCAGAGAACAGAAAAATTATAGAAATCAAAAACTATTATTTGTCAGAAAACATATCTCTCCCTTCTTTAGTCTCTGCAAAGAGGACCACTGTTATTATTCCCTTTATTAGATTTGAGGGGCGTTCCGAGACCGAAACTACTAACTACTTGTGGGAACCCTTTATGACTCTGCAGGTATGAGAATGTAAACTGCAGACATGCAAAATTTTAATGTCTGTTCTAAATGAGAAACAAATTATCCTTGGAATTATACAAGTTGGGCTCACATGAACCATCTAGTTTGTTCCAGTGCTCTGGCTTGATTAGATCAGATGCAGCAGAGGAAAGACTTCAGTTTTGTAGGATATGCTTTATTTTTTTAGTAGTATCTTGGGGCATAGACCATTCAGAGCCAGGAGCATAATATTGGAGAGGCCAAGCAAAGGGCAAAATGATAGTTCAGCAGGCAGGCAGAGCCTGAAATCCTCTGTCCTCCGTGAGCCACACATTGGGATGAAGTTTGTATACAAGTCAGCATCTGAAAGGCTATAACTATTCATTTAGGGATAACAGGTTTGGGTATGTCTGTGCCTTCAGGTCAGGGTTGACTCCTGGTGACTACCTGGAAAAGTTCTTGCAGTTTTCTTGGCAAGATTTTGGAATGGTTTGCTATAGCCTCCTACCTGGGGTTGAGAAAAAGTGACAGGCCCAAAGTTACCCAGTTTTGGGCCTAAAGTGGGAGGAGAACTCCCAATCTCAGTGTCTTAACCACTGCACCAAACTGACTCTGCTAGAGTTTCTGTTGATCGAATAATTGCAAATGAAAAACATTATTGCAAATTATCCAGCAATTTGATTTTCCTTAAACTTTGTACCATCTCACGTTTATAAGAACTGTTAATCTTTAAGTCTACCTGCTCCAATCTGATAAAGTACTATCAGTGATATTGAGCTATAGCTCTCATCATTTAAAAAAAATAGTACAAGGATGGTAGACGTTGTAGACCAATGGTTCTGAAGGATATCAGGTGGTGGAAGATCTTTCTAAGTGGGTTCGTGTGATGTGGTTTGGGACTACTGTATCTTGGCTGCAAACATCCAGAAGATGGCAGGAAAGAGTTACAGCTCAATGTATCTCTTTGCTGCCTTCTAGAGGTCATCCTGATTGTTATAGCCTCAATCTGGTGGTTATAGGTTAAAAATTGTGCATGAATGTAGTTATCCCTTAATGTATTGTACTCCGTTCATTCTTTAAATAGTCAATTGAAGTAATGGAAGCATCTTATCTTTTTTAATCAATATTTTTCAAAATTTTCCATTTGTTCTCAGTTCTTCAATCTGTATCCATTTTGATTTGCCCTTCATCTTCCCTCTGCTTTCTGAATTGCTTCAAAGGGTACATATCTTCTATAATACCTATTTCTAGGCAAGGAATAGGTAGAAAGGTGTAATCACAAATGCATTTTTCTTAAGGTACTTTACCTGGCTTTTAGTGTTCTTTGAAGTGTCTGCACAAGCATTGTAGAAAATAGTATTAAAAAACAACAACACTCAACTGAGTATTTAGGTACACAGCCCAGAAATAAACAGCTGGATAGATTTTTAAAAAAACACCGAGAAGAACATATTTTTTCTCTTCAGTATTTTTAGGAATATTGAAAACAGAGCCCACTATTTATTGGCTATGGTTTCTTAAAGTTTTGGGATAGCAATGTTTTCTCAACCCAGCCTGAAGAGACCAAGGATTGAAGAAAAAATGCCTATCTCCCAACTTTGGTTTCAATACTGTTCTTGTTGAAGAAACTAGCCAACTGGATGTGAGTTTTAGCTAAGCTTTTGCAGAGTAGCTCTTTCAAATCTGTTGCACTATACAAATATACCTCAGGCCCTTAGAGCATGGGCAGATCATGAAGAGTCAGGGACTTATTTTTCATTTGTTGAATGATATTTAGGACACTCACAGCTTTGATCCACAAATAGGGCATTTTATAGCATTCCTTAAACAGCTGTCACAGTGAAGAACTGCTATGTAGGGATACAATCTTTTTCAGCATTCCTGTCCCGTCTAAACTGTCTGGAGGAAGAGGAATATTTTGCTATTCCTGCTAGTAGGGGTCTTCTTGTAAAGGTCAGTAAAGATCTGGTAGTCATAAGCTAAATCATAATTTGGTAACTTGAAGTTGGCAAGCTGTACAGAGGTCAAAGTCGCTCTTGAAATGGACTATAAAGCCCAAGGAAGCAGCCTTACCTATTTTTGCCCATGATCCAGCTAAGCAGTTATCAGTTGGAGGAAGGAGAATATGAAAAGCAAAATTAAAACTTCCCCAGTCAGCATTGCATGGAGGCCCTTACGTGCACAGCATGGGAAATAATTTACACACGAGAGAAAATATATGAGGATGATGAGGGTAGAGTTCATAGCCCCACACACTGCTGTCCTCCAGAATTGAACATTCCTCTACCTGTATTGCCCCCAACACATTACTTTGCCCTTAAAAGATTCTTGTCTCCTGACCTAAATGGCCATGTACTTAAACTTCAGATAGAAAACCAGAAAGATATAGAGAAAACTTTATATGCCTGTCGCCATATTCAAATTGCCTGCAAGTTAGAAGGTAGCACTCAAATCCGATTCACCCTTCACATATAGCTCTTTAAAACCAGGTTTTTGAAGGATTCTGCAAGAAGAGCACTCGGGTCTGATGGACTATAGTCACTGAGCACAGACTCCATTGCACAATTACATGCAAGTGAGGTTCAACACAATCCATCCCCTCGTTCTTTTCGCCAAACTGGATTACAGGAATTCTCTTACATGAATAACCCAGGCAGGCAGTTCAACAGGCTGATGCTGAAGGGTATGGATCCTTGTTGCATGAGTTACTGAAAGCCCAAGAGATGATGAATATATTCCCTTATGACACCAGTAGCAATGAACAGTTGGAGACGATCAGGACCTAAGGCACCACATGCAGGAAAAATAACAAAAGAACAGGTAGCACAGTAAATCACACCCAGCAAATGTAGTTCTAATAGAAATGTCTTAGCCTCTCTGATCTACTTACTCAGATAACAAATAACTCGCTCTAGGAGAGTGAGCAAGCCAAAGATTGAATATAATATTATACAATTCAAAATATATATATGAAAAGGCTGCTGTATGTGCCTGTATAAATCGCAGTGATCTTGTATGTTTTCATTACATAAATGCCATGGAAGAAGAAGAAGTGAAGAAATGAGACATGGTTGCTACTCACCTAAATAAGGAAGCAAGGAAACAGATAAGGGGTTGAACCTATTTAAAATGGTAGGTTATAAATACAGTAGGCATGTATTTCAAGCATTTTATATTTAGAGCGTGCTAAAATAAGGCAGGAATTCAGACAGATTACCAAAAAAGTTATAGTCCAGAATAAATTAGTAGTCAAATTGTATAGCCTTTGCAGGGAGGAGAACTCAGTCTTTGTACCTAAACAGCAGTTAATAATAAGCAAGTTAGCAAGGATGTCTATAGTTATTGAACAAATCCATGTGATTCCCCCCCCCTTTTTTTAATCGAGTCAGGTCTAGGGAGTCAATAGTATAGAAGTATAGTATAGAATATACCTGGCCAACCTATTCTACAAGCAGGAAATCAATATGGAAAAATTAAGACAAGGAAGCTTTGCCATTGTCCAGTCCTATCATGAACTTCCTTAGATGGGAGAAAGGAAAGAATAGAAACATGGTCATTATGGCTGAAAGTGGTTCTCTAACTGAAGATCTATTCTGTTTCTCATATCACACTAAGGTGCAAAATGTTTGGTTTTAGTATAATGAATTGTGTGATCCCACTATTATGGTTTGCAAAACATAGCTTATGATTTACTTAGTTGTGTGAATACTTTTTTTAGTTATTTGGCAAGCTATGGTTAACCAAACCATAACTTGGATTTATGAATGCTGAATTTTTACAGTCAAGTTTCAGCAGAGTTTTGGCAACCAGAATGTGGGTTGTGCAATGATGGTAAATTGATGTTTCTTTAAAATTCAATCTCTATGGCTCTAAGACAAGAGGTGGGAAATGCTTCAGTATTTTCTGTCATGTCAAAAGATGATGCAATAGGGTATTAAACTGAGAGGGAAATGTTTAAATTCTTGTATGGCAACTATCACCTAGACTGTTTTTTAACGAGGATAAAATTGGAAGAGGAAGTATCTATGCTGCCTTGACTTTGTAAAGGAAGACCAAAGACATGATTGCAATATAGGGGCCTTCAAACTTGGTCCTTTTATGACTTGTGGACTTCAACTCCCAGGATTCCTCAGCCAGCATGCCTAATAAAAAAAAATTATTTATATATATAAATAAATAAAGCTTGCAGCATGAATCACAACATTGTAGCGCAGATTAATGGCCTTGGAATTTCCTCTTCTTTGACTAGATTGGAAAGTTTATCAGGTTTGCCAGCAAGCCAAGCTTGAATGTGCTCATGTTTTTCAGTGTGGGAGCATACAAAGCCCCAGCACCTTAGAAATAATCATATCCTCCCAGCCAATAAAAGAAATACAGCATAGCAATTTGGTTGGTGACATTGCAAGAGTTATCCATAGGCATACCTGGATACCAACATGTTATATGAGAAGGGGCTACATTTGTGGAGTATGCCTAGGTGTGTTCTACAAATAGGAATATACATAATGTCCTCATTTAGTAGAAGTTACATAGAAGATCTTGATACAGTTTTGTCTAAGTGTACTAGCTCATCATATTGGCAAGACTGGTTTTGTTGGACTCCCATCCGTTGGATTAAAAAAACTATGTGTTTCTTCTCAATTGAATTGATAGTCTGCCATCTTTTTCTGGGGCACCTGTATAAATCAGAACCGTTGCCACTACAGGGACTATCTTTAGCTTAGGATCCGAGATCCTGACTTCCTTTTCTGGTAAATAGGCTGCATTATTTTCCTGATTTTTTGTGTGAGGATTATATCTGTCTTCTATCCCAATGTCTTCTCATAGGAAAGGAGCTGGAGGTGGGGACATGTGAGATCACAGCCCTGGATAGAGATATGAGCCACCCCAAAAGAATGATTGCCCGACAGACAGCACGGTGTGCCTGTCGAAGAGGACAAGTTGCTGGAACAACAAAAGCAAAGCCTGCCTGTGTAGATGGTAAGAAAGCAAAGTTGCCTTCACTCTTGTTTGATTGACCCAAAGGTCTATCAATCTGGCTGATGAGGACCAGCAATTTCATACAAATGGCGGAGAAGCATTGCAGGGACTCATGAAGTCTCTGAGAGCGACTTAATAGCATGAGTGGTGGGTTTTCCATTTTGAAGGCTGCATTATGACGTAAAGCTAGGGGCATTCCCAGAAATTAAAAGTTTAGCAAATTATTGAGTTTTGTTAGTGTAACTCAAGGGGAAAAAACAAACGAACAAAAAGTGGGTGGGGGTTGTTTTGCCATCACTAATCAACACAAGAGATGAGACATTTGTCTTCTGTGACCTTTTGAAGGAGTTGGTACCCTGCCTTTGGATTCAATCAAGGCACTTACTAAAGTGGACCCATAAAAGCTCCTCCTTTGCCAGTGTTTGGACATGTTTGAAACTAAAAGATTGCCCTTAATCATTTATAACACTGTTACTATTTGTCCAACAATAGACAAATTGGTGTTGGCAGAGAGAGATTTCTGTTTGTGTTATTAGATCATTCTATTAAAAAAAGAAGTCAGGCAATGTTTAACGAGATTTAACAGCAAACTCCCAGACTAAGTGCATGCAAAAAAGTACAGATGTTTCCTGGAATTCCATTGCAGTTCAAAAAAACCAACTGGCATGTAACACTGTTCATTCATGAGAGTTTTGCCTGATGCAGAGCTGCTTTACATTCTTGCTGCAAGACCTCTCTCTCCCACTGAGGAGATACATCAGAACTTCTTTCTGATGAGTCTATCATTGTAGATAGTTTAATGATGCCTGTTTAGGGGTTGGTGTTCATCTGAAGGGGGATTCCTGTCCTTTGAAATACTACCAAGGTGTTCGGAATGGGAGCCTCCACCCTCATGAATGTCTCTCCAATGATGTCGTTCCCTCTTCATAGCTAGGGTTGGTGGGCACAGGGAATCTCTGTATGTCCCATGTGAGCAAGAATTTGGGTTTTTGTGTGTAAACAGCAGTACATTTGCAAGCACATCCATAAAGGTTTCCCCCTGCAGATCTCTCTGTTTTATCTGTGAAAATCTTCAGCAGGTCAATGTCCTTCGAGTGATGACAAAGGAGGCAGCTTTTATTGGTAATTCCCTCACAATTCTCTTTATTTTTGGATGCCCAAACAAAACTTGAATATGTCTGGGTGTGAATGTGGGTATGTGAGAGAGTATAGATTCTGTGCTATGATTATGACCATAATAGCTGAATGGGGCAGCTGGACTGTGATTTCCTGTAGCTTTTCCATGAGTGGAAGGGCTTCTGTTTCTGATAGAAAGGCAGTCTTGGTTTGGCCCCCTTTCCCCCGAGGTCCCCTTCATTTCCTCTCTTACTAATCTGGAGAATCCCCAGGGCTATAGAGCACTTCCCTCCTCCTTCCTTCCTAAACAAGCAGAACTTTGCTTCTTCTGAATCAATGTGTTGTGGAACATTAAAGAAATGCATGTGATTGCTGAAGACCCAGCCACTGCCTAAATCAAAAGTCAACAAACTGAGCTGCTAAAGCCACATGTGGCTCTTGACTTACTATCAAGTCAATTGCAGCTTAATTTCCAAAGCCTTTGGCAACCCTACTTTGGACCAAAAACATCTACTCTGCCCTCTTCCACCCATAAAAGAAGCAGTGAAAGAATTAGCCAACCACTTTTAAGTCTGCTTGCTTTGACTCATCAGCCACTGGCACACAGCCCCCCCTCCCCGACTTTTTACATTTGTAGTTTTTACTCCTGGAGGATGTAGCCCTGGAGAGATCAAAAGTTGCTCACTGCTGGTGGGCAGCCAGTGTTACTGACTTGAATATGTGATGCCAAAAAGCTCTTTTCTAGGCCTTGCAGGAAGGTTTCCTGAGGTTTTGGAATACAGGAATCTGTTATCTTGTGTTGCTACGTGCTGTGGTCGTGCAACAGTAACATGCTCCCTGGTGTTGCTATGTAGGATGGGGGAAGGAAATATACAGGGCCTGTGAGTAGGTGTTTGATATGTATGGTGAACATCAGGCTATTCTGAGCCCACAGGTGGTGATTGTTATCTCGTATTTGAAGAAGTTGCAGGAGAAAGCACCATAGATGTAATCTCTGTTCTGCAGCTCTGCATTTAATCCCCTATGCTGCTCCTCCATACTGCTTTTTCCCATTTCACAGCTTCTGTTGTTTCCCAATACTTAGCCTCTCTTTTGAAAGATTTTTCTCAATGGCAAAGAAAATAAGTCCACAGCAAAATTCCAAGTGATCTAGACTCAAACATGAATCCATTCTGTTATGGAGAGTTGGTGCTCAGAGCCCTGTAGACTCGAAATGGAACAATTCACCACTGCCAACTTGCCCTAGCCAACTTTTCATGGTCAACTCTCCACAGCCAATTCACCATGGGACAACATGTTGCGGGACTATTCAACAGTTTAGTTTAATTATTTAAAATAATTTCAAAAATATTTTAATTTTTGTCATTTACATTTCAATTTGTCCCTCTTTTGGCATTCTTTCTTTCCTGATTCTATTCCATTATTTCTTTGATATTAGTGTAACTCTTGTCCCATGGTGAGTTGTCCTGTGGCCATGGCAAATTGGCCATAGCAAGTTGGCTATGGTGAGTTGGCCATGGCCAGCTGGCCATGGTGAGTCATCGTAAACCCCCACAGTGTTAACTCTCTACTCATCCTAGCTCCTTCCCAGGACATCCCTTCCCAGAAGTGGAGGGTGGGCAGCTTGCTGCAAGGACCAGATAGTCTCATTTGGAAGGATGAGAGCTTCTCCAAATTTGAAGTTATCCAAATGTTTTCAGACTACAATTCCTAGACATCTCAGTTTGGCTTAACTGGAAGTTTGCACTGTAAAACGAATGACCAGGGTTAAAGTCTCATGTTTTATCGATAATTCTGTTAAATGTGTGCCTAATTTTCTTTCTTTCCTTTTCTTTCCCTTTCTCACCTTCAACGTTTCCTTCTTCTTTGACTTACCTGCCGGTGTCCGGCAGCCCAGATCATTGTTAATAAACAATGGTGTGGGATGGAGCCCTGTGATGAAGGGGAGCAATGCACTTTATTAATCAATCGTTCTGGCTGGAGTTGTACTAGGCAACTGGGACGAATAAAAACAGTCACGGTAAGTAAACTGCCCTGACTTCTTTCATCCCACCCACTAAATAGCCAAAGAAGGGCAGAAAATTGTGTATTGCAGGTAGACAGAAATATGTTGTGTCTGCCTTATAGAGTGAAGACACAAATTTGTTTAGGGATTGTCTTAGGCTATGGCTCCCAGAAATGTGCTAAAAAAAATTGGGGTGACTAATAGATGACAGAAAAAAGTAAGAGGTTATCCAGGTCCATGACAAGTGTAAGGTCCTGTTTGTAGTAATACTAGCAGTGGACAAATACCAGAAGCATACATTCCCTGACGTGCATTGACACAGACGTCTAAATCACATCTAAGGCACTAGGCTGGAAACCAAGAGATAGTCTGTTCTAGTCCCACCTTAGGCTTGAAAGCTGCCTGGGTGACTTTGGACCAGTCACTCTCTCTCAATGCACCTTACAGGATTGCTATTGTGAGGAAAAGAAGGGGAGGAAGGGGTATGTTTGACATCTTGAGTTACTTATCAAATGAAAAGGAGGGATGAAAACATCTAATAAATAAATAAATTGATGCAAGAATCTGCATGTGTACTACCGGGAAATGGATCTGTATTATGTGCAGATCTCAGAAATCCCTAATGCAAATCTCAGAAAGTCTGGCAGGAAGACAAAGATAGCTCTTTAGACTTCTTTTATGAATGAGGGAGAGAGGGGAGATCAAGGTTTCCCAGGTCCTCCCTGGCCTACAAATGAATGAGACTCTTCTCTGGGAGGGGCACCTATCTCGACTTGGAGTTATTCATCAGCATAGTTTGAGGTACATTGTGAATAAGCAGAGGTTCCATTTTCCCAGTTGTTTGCTTGAGGGAACTCCAGAAATAGATTATTGTGTAAATAGTTGCCCAATTGGCTGCTGTTGATCACAAAATGCTGCCCTCGGAGGCCCCCAGTTTCTTAATTCTCCATGCAGATATTTTTATTTGGGTCACTATTGCTCCTATTCCTGGTTAGAGAAGGTAGAAATAAAGGTTTGTTGCTAGCTTTGATTGATTTTCAAAAAGCTAAACAAAGTAAGAAATAGCGAATCGTAGTACTATTGCCAAGAAAACAACTTGAACATGCCCAAATAGATACCAAGGGGGAGGGGTTTTTTTGGCTTGAAGGAGTTTTTTTTCCTCTATAAATAGTCCTCAGTTAACAACTGTAACGGGGATCAGAATTGCTGTCACTAAGCAACATGGTTGTAAACTGTGATGCCACATGACCGAGCCACTTAGCAGTGGAAATTCCTGAAGTCCTAGTTGCCATCATTAAGTAAATCACTGAGGGTCATTAAGTGAGGATGTCACATGGTCGCCATTTGTAGCCCCCTTTCAGCTTCCCAATTGATTTTGATTGTTGGAAGCTGGCAAAGAAGGTCACTACATGAGCATGAGACGTTGCAACAACGTAATTGTGAGTCAGATGCCAAGCACCCGGATCCTAATCGCATGGCCACAGGAATACTGCAACAGCTGAAACTCCAAAGACTTCTCGTAAGTGTCATTTGTTCAGCATCTTGACAAATCTGAATGGTTGCTGAATTGAATGAATGGTCATTAAGCAAGGAACACCTGTATTTTAGAATGCCCTATGGTAGATATCGGTATGCCCTTGTATTGAACAGTGGAAGCTCGGATTCCACAGTCCAAAAGCAAAATATAAGCAACTGATTCTGTTTGGCCACACCTCCCTCCCTCCCTCTCTCTCTCTTTCTCTCTCCCTCCCTCCCTCCCTCCCTCCCTTCGTCCCTCCCTCCTTCTCTCTCTCTCTCTCTTTTCCATGCCGTAAAGAATGCAAATGGAGATAGACTTGAATGGAAATGTGACTGAATATTATCAGCCTGCATTCAGTAT